TTTGAGCTTTAAAGGCGTGAATAAAGCAGCGTTTACTCTGAGTGTGACACAGAGCAACAGAGCGAGGGACGTGAGCAGAGAGCAACAGGAAATACGAAGAGGAGAGAGAAAGGAGGAGAGAGAGTTGGGCTGGTGTTAAGGTGATTAGTCTGGTGGGTTGGCGATAGAGAGAGTTGATCAATAACCTATCGATCTCCCATTGCTAGTGTCAGGGGGGTAGTGGGAAAGAGAGGGAGGGTGAGAGGGTGAGAGAAAGGATAGGGAGGGAGTCGGTCCTGACTTGACTTTTAAAAATCCTTTACTCTGCAGATGACAAATAACCCATTAGATTGCAGGAGAGCTGGACAATCTGGAAAGCCTTCCTACTGCACACATACTCAAATACAAGCCTGTGCATTTTCCAAACGTTCCTCACTTTAAAATAAGCATGGTTCAGATGATTGTTTTAAACTATTGCTGAATGCAAAAAGAAAAATCATTCCTGTGAGTAGTGTGGAGGAACTATTGAGCTCAATGCAGTGAAGTTACTTAGCAGACCATTACTTCAAAGAATTCCTCCAGGCAGAAATATGCACTGAAGCAAGTCTCACTCAATACTCTCCCTGAAGCCTTTTTAAATGTTCTGCAATAAGTCTATTAGAAACAGGTGACAAGTGTGAATGTAAACAAAATCAGAAAAGAAGTGAAGCCGATCACCGGTTACTTTTGTGGGCTGTTAAGGGACAAATGCAAGTGTTAGATGTCTTCAAACATGTCAGTGAATAATCTCTGTTCGTAAATTAAACAGCAAGATAATATATAGACTTTTTTTGAAGATGACAAACATGGCCATTAACCTTAAGTCACTCTGGTCTCCTCACAGCAGCAGGTATTAGACTGAAAAATGAATACTGGGAGAAATTATTTATTTATATATTATTTATTTAAACCCCAACACAGTTAGCTAATGAAATGAGTCGACACCAAAGCGTGACAGTGTGCTTTCATTTCTAAGCAGGTGTCTTTGTACGTGTGTCACCAGGGAGGAGGTCATGATGTTACAAGGTTTGTCGCTCCCCAGTGAACACAGGGTGGGGTCAGAGTTGTGGGGTGAGAGGTGAAGGGTCACTTTGGTCCTTGATAATACCAGAGGGCCCAAAGGACGGATGTCAGAGTAATAGAGAAATGGACGGTTATTGAACAAGCCATCATTTCAGCTCCCATATACCGGAAGTCTTTAACTACAGGTTCAAGCCCCCCAAAGTGGAGTCAGAAATCAGTGCAGGTGCCTGATATGTCTCCATGGAAATAAAAACAAGGCCCTTTTCCTCTAATGAATCGCAGCTGTCCTCCGCTTTCTCTTTGCAGAAGTTTTGGTGATTTGATTCCGAATGATGGATTCTCCTCGCATCGGGTCTCAGCTCTCAAACAACCATTATCATTACGGATCCTGCTGACTTCAGGGCTCATTTGGACACATGGAGAGGGCTTTTGAAATGTGAGTTAAGCCGTGTAGGAGAATGGTTAATGGGTAAAACACAGCCTCCTCTCTTTCTCACCCACGCTCGACTCTACTAATCCTTCATCCAGCTTCCATTTCCTCATTTTCCTCTCGCTATCCTCCTCCTGCCCGGCTATCTCCTTCTTATGTCCTTGTCTCCACTACTCCCCCTCCATGCTTTCCTCTACCTGCTCAGAGAGCCCCTCCCCCAGCCCCAGTATCTCTGCTGCCATGCAGTCTTTCAAATGAATGTAGAGATATTGACAAGTGATGGGCCTGGGAGGCATAGATCATCATGAAGGAGAAGAGGAGGGCTGGGATCTTGCCAGGCCAAAAGAACGGAGGGGTTTCCTGCAACATCCACCGTACTACTAAACATGGAGATGCAGCGTTCAGTTATTGTGCCCCAAATATCTGGAACCCAGAAATCTCCAGGTCTGCTGCAACTCTAATGACTGTTTTTAAATGCCTTTTTATAATGTGATTCCGTTGCACTATTTCTTAAAGGGGACCTATAATTCGATGTCTTTTATACATAAATATGTGTCCCCGGTGTGTCAGGGAACACATAAAGTGTCAGAAAACAAAACCCTCTCTCTTTTCCTCTGTACCCAAATCTAAAAAAACGGGGGTACAACGGAGCTGATCCAGATTTGCGTCCGATATGACGTAATGTCGGAAATGCGGACCCACAACCAGAAACGTTGCTATCAGAAACAATGCCCGACCGTTTTGGACGTAATATGATCTTTGTTTACATTAGCAAGCATGCTAACACTCAGAGCATGTGTAAACATGGGAAATAAAAAATGGAACTCACTTTGTGGTAAACCTGCAAGAGAAAAAGCATTTGAGCTCCATACTGTTTCAGAAATAATCCTTGATGTGGTTTGGAACATGATGGCGTTTAATCACGGCAGCATTTAGCTGAGTATCTCGTAGAATTCTGAGCAGGCATTATCTCCCCCTCCTCTCTTTTTTTCAAGCTAAGGACCAGATCAGCAGTTCTCTAACAGGGCTGAAACAGAGGGATATGAGTAGGGTTGGGAACCGAAACTCGGTTCCAGATGAGAACCGATAAGAAAATGCCGGGTACCGGGTACCCATACAAAATACACAATTTCGGTTCTGCTTAACGGTTCCTAAACGCGGTAGACCCTGTATTCCAGCGGGTCCGTCTGCACCGCGGTGCTGCGGTGACCCGGTGGAATACAGGGCGGACCTGGAGAATCACAGAACGGCCGGTCGTCAGCGGGCCGTTGACGGCCGGCTCGGTACGCTGACGGCCGGCACCGCCCTTCATTTTTTTAAACGGCATCATATAAATTGCGCTGACAGGCGACAGAGGTCCACAGTTGCCCCGCAGCGATGCTCCCCCGCCCTCCCGTAGACATTTCACGAGCTCAGTCACTTCATAACACCAAAGATAGGTCGCGGTAAACACTCTGAAGTGAGGCTCCACTACACTAAAAAATAAAAATAAAAGGCAAAGTGTAATGCCTGTTAATAGCTTGCCACAGGCATAGCTCAGTTAAAATAAAGCACAGCTATTGTGCAATACATTTGTATTGCATGTATATTTTTTAGTAACAATTTCAGTTAAAGCTTTTAAGAATAAATATATTTTTGTTATCTAAACGTTTGACCTCTTTATTTTACAATTTTGGAATCGAAACGGGGAATCGATAAGAACCGGAATCGATAAGCAGAACCGGAATCGATAAATTTCAAACGATACCCATCCCTAGATATGAGGGATGTCTAAAATGCATGATCATCATAGACATGTTTTTTATATATTTTTACATATCTGAGACCCATAATATATGCCTCAAAATAGCATAATAGGAGACCTTTAATGCTCTTAATGTTTTTCATTTTTGTAAAGCACTTCCCTTGTGTTGAAAAGTGCAGTATAGATTATCTGGCCATGCCTTCCCTAGCTTACTTTCTGTGGCTGTCCAGAAAACATACGTCAGGTTCACCAAGTTGTCCACAGGATTTCAAAAGTCCGGAAATCGGGTGATCTCTATGACTCGTATTAGAGGTGGAAGCAACAACTCAACATTTTTTTTTTACATTTTACAAAACATCACCAGGTACATAATTATCTCCACCCTCCACCCTACATTTGGGGCTTTGCAAAGTGGATAAGGTGATGCTAACAATGTGCAAAGGGCCGCTTGGTCAATATGCCAATTACATAGATGAGGGTATGGAAAGGGCAAATGATAGCCAATCAGTGAAGTGCTTTTACTGTCCTCTAGCTAGAGCTGACCCCCTGACTCCGTTTGATGACCTGCAGGCCAAAGGTCTCCTCTCCAGGGGTCAGAGGGCATTGCCACGCGCTGGCCGGAGCGGCGTTTCTATGGTAACAGGGATAGCCAAAGAATGGCAAGGTGTAGCGTTCAGGAGGAGAGGGGTCACTGTGGACCGACTGAGCAGAGATGGGATGTTCCTCGGATAGTTTGAGGGACAGTTCACGCTAGATTTAATATATGTTAACCCTTTGCTTGGTAGTGCTATTTCTAAAATCTACAATTTTAAAGTGTGTGAGGGGTCAAATGTGGGAAATATCAGTGGTAGAGATTTCTGCAATTTCATCATTGGAAAACACTAATATTCCCATCGACATTTTAAAATTACATTAGGAACAAACCTGTTTTAACTGAAAGTTTGAGATAAGTTTAAGTTAAAAGTTTTGTATGTATATTTTGGTCAGTGTTGATAGGTAAGTATGTTACATCATTCATTTACTATCTACTGTATACGTTTTACTTTTATATTTCAGGGGGAATTATAAGTTAATTAGTTAGGTTTCAAAGGAAGAGAATAACCACTGAATATATATATATATATATATATATATATATATATATATATATAAATACAATTGGGATATACACACACACCATCTAAAATGTTATGTATAACAAAATATCAGTCACATAAATGGTCTTATTATTAATATTATTATTGAAATACATTGTTCCTGAGAAAAACATCAAGAGGCACTTTTATTTCATGCTTTGTTGCACCATCTAGGGGTGGGTGTACACATTACTAAAGTCGGTACCTTAGGGCTGTTTCTCATCTATTAACTTGATCTATTTTTATATTACCACTTCAAGTGTTTTGTCCGGCTCTGCCTCTTTTAACTTGTAATTAAACTACTCCCCTAGCCCCGGGAGAACTTTAATTATTTGTTATCATCTGTTTGGGACTCACTGCATGCTGTACTATTAGTAGGCTATAGGCTTCATAATAAGAACTGTTATCCAGTGGTGTTAAGTAACTATGCATAAAGTAGGCTACTGTAGCCTATTTAAGTACAATTGTGAGGTACTGAGGTATTTTTGTATGTTTACTCCACTACATTTATGTAAAAATCTGAATAAAAAAAGTATCGTGGAAGCATTAAAGCAGCAGATAAAACTCCTGCCCTCGTTACATTATACACAAGTAAATGTTACTCCCCGTTTTTTTCAGTGCTGCTACACTTTGAATATCCTGTCAAGCAGGTCTTGTCAACACACGACTTCCATAAACAGCCGGAGCAGACTTGTTTTTGAAACAGGTTTTATATTCTTTAAGCATATATTTAAGGTGTAGGCATATATAAAGGATAGCTTTTCAATTTTCTTTTAGGGTATCTGTGCTGCTATTTTTTACTGCATGTGCATCGGGGTTTAACTTCCACGACCTCCAACACGCACAATCCTGGTGTGCAAGCAGGCTATTTACGGTCATGTCGAGTAGAAAAACGAAAGACTTCGATGAAATTACTGCGTTTCTAGGCGACTACGGTTCCTTTCAAATTCTAATGATCGTTCTGCTTAGTTTAAGCACAATAATGTGTGGGTACACCGGAATGATTGTGGTTTTCGTCTCGGATACACCAGAGCACCACTGCAAAGTATCGATAAACTATACGCGCAACGCTACAGATGTGGAGGTTTCCTTCCGCAACCAGAGCATCTGGATCGGATCCAACAGCTGCTCCAGATACACACTGAACCGGAGCTCCACGGAGGCAGGGGAGCACAATGATACAGAGCCATGTCTGGACGGATGGGTCTTCAGCACCGAGAGATACACCGCCACTATTGTGTCTGAGGTACATGTGCAAAACGGATAATTATGACAAAATAGCAATGTTGGAAGAATTATGCCTGGCCTACTCAGACCCTTTTCTTGAGTAGCCTAAAAGTAGAAATACTATGTCTTATTATTCTCCACTAAGTAAAAGTGCAGATTTCCAAAAGGTTACTTAAGTAAAAGAAAAGTATTGGCAGTGAACTAAAAGTACAAAAAGTAGTCGTTCTGCACAATGACCTATTTCAGAATGATACAAAAGTACCAAAGTATTATCAGCTGATGGATATTTTCAAAGTATATTATCATGGTTATTGTAATGGAAACTTCTGTGTAGCTATGCAGTGGGAGTCACCGACTCAGGAAGGAGACACGGGAAGAGCAGTAGCTTTGATGTCAAACACATGATGGTTTATTTGGAGTTAACGGCCGGAGGATTCACATCACAAGTCCAAGAGTCAGAGGTTCTGACTTCACGGTAGAGTTGCCACGTCAATTCTGGAGAGCCTCTCTCTTGCCAGCCCATCTAACTGGTTTCGCAGAGAGTAAACAACATATTTTGAGGAGATAGCCTAAACAGTGTGGGAACACAGAGCTACTTGCCTCGGACACTTATGACCTCGAAGATTTTACCTTGGAGTCCACAAATACAGAGAAGGAAGTGTCCCAGTGTACCCACAACACAGACCATCTGTATCCCAGTATTGACCGGTCACAGAATGGGAACAATAACATTATTGGCTAAGCCGCCTGTGTCCTTAAAGAAGGTAAACAGACATCAAGGTTTGTCCTGTATGTTACTAATTGGCGTCTTATGATAATTATTTCCACAACAGTTATCATGGTTTTTGTCATGATATTCATGTCATGTCACGTTTTTTATGTCTAGGTTTGGGTGTTTTGCTGTTCTCCTTGTCACGTTTTTCTCCTGGTATATTGTCTGGTCCTTTTCCCTGTGTTTTTCCTCCTGTCGTTAGTTTCCCTGGTGTGTCTGTTGTCTGATTGTGTTCACCTGTGGCCCTTGTGTTTCTCCTCCCCTGCCCGGCTGTTTCTCGTCTTGTGATTACCCCTCCCTGTATTTAGTCTTGTCTCTTCCTGTGTTCAGTGTTGGTTCATCTTTTGTTTGTGACTGAGTTCACCGTGGAGTGTTTTGTTTGTCCATGTGTTATGTTAGATAAGAGCCCTTGAAATAAAGGTATTATCAGTGTTATCTGCGTTTGGGTCCTATCTGCTTCACTCCGCGTATCAGAACGAACCAACCGTGAAATGGGCCCAGCAGATCAGTTCGAGCTGGAATTATTGGATTTTTCCTTTTTTTTGGCTAACTGCTCGGATCGATGGAAGAGAGCGTCCGGAGTTCAGCAGCGAGAGGCTGTGTTGTCAGAGGCGCGCCAGATGGCTATGGAGAAACCAGGTTTGGTGAAATTCTTACCTGGCTGGATTTCGAATATCCTCTCGGTGTGTGATTCCCGGCCTGCTAGCCCCAGGCATGCTAGCTCCCTGTCTCCCAATTCCCATCCTGGCACCATACGCCTCGGTGGTTTCCGTCTGGAGTCAACCCGTGCTTCTGCCCCAGTTCCTGCTCCTATCCTGGAGTCGTTTTCTGGAACTCGTCTGGCTTTTGCACGGAGCCTTCAGGCGGCTTCTAAGTGAAGGAGTCGCAAGGCCAGGCTAGCAGCCCCAAGAGCCATGATTCCGGTCCCAGTTCTGATCCCAGCGGCCCTGGTTCCGGCCCTGGTTCCGGCCCTGGTTCCGGCCCCAGCAGCCATGGTTCCATGCTCCAGTGTCGGCCCACACAGCCATGGTTCCGTGCTCCAGTACCATCCCACACAGCCATGGTTCCGTGTTCCGGTTCCGTGCCCGGCAGCCATGGTTCCGGCTACAGAACAGGCCCACACAGCCATGGTTCCAGCCCCAGTCCTGGCCCCAGCAACCATGGTTCCGGCCCCAGTACCGGGCCAAGCAGCCATGGTTACAGCCCCAGTCCTGGCGCCAGCAGCCATGGTTCCGGCCCCAGTACCGGGCCCAGCAGCCATGGTTCCGGCCCCAGTTCCGGCCCCAGCAGCCATGGTTCCGGCTTCAGTACCGGCCCCAGTAGCCATGGTCCCGACTCCAGTTTCGGCTCCAGGACTGGCTCTCCAACTGACACCAGCTCCCCGAGTCTGTCGGCGTACCGGCCAACTCCAACACCCCGTCTCCTGTTGGCTCTCAAGCCTACGCCAGCTCCCTGTGTCCTGTCGGTGTACCGACCGACACAAGTTCCTTCTCAAGTCTCCTCTCGAGTGCTCTCTCGAGTTCCCTCTCTGGTCCCCTCTCGAGTTCCCTCTCTGGTCCCCTCTCGAGTTCCCTCTCAGGTCCCCTCTCGGGTCTCTTCTCGAGTCCCCTCTCGAGTCTCTTCTCGAGTCTTCTCTCGAGTCCCCTGTCGAGTTCCTTCTCGGGTTCCCTCTCAAGCCCTCTCTCGAGTCTCCTCTCGAGTTACCTCTCAAGCCACCTCTCGAGTCCCCTCTCAAGTCACAGCTCAAGTTCCTTCTCAAGTCTCCTCTCGAGTCTCCGTTCAAGTTCCCTCTCGAGATCCCTCTCAAGTCAACTCTCAAGTTTCCTCTCGAGTTCCCTCTCAAGCCCTCTCTCGAGTCCCCACGCAAGTCCCTACTCAAGTGCCGTTGGAGGTTCCGCTGGGGGTCCTGCCAACTCCATGTCCTGTCCCGTTGGGGGTCCCGAAGACTACTCTTCTGCCGGGGGTCCTGCCAATCCTATGGCCTGTGCCGTTGGAGGCCCCGCCGACTACTCTTCTGCCGGGGGTCCTGCCAACCCTGTGTCCTGTGCCGTTGGAGGCCCCGCCGACTACTCTTCTGCCGGGGGTCCTGCCAACCCTGTGTCCTGTGCCGTTGGAGGCCCCGCCGACTACTCTTCTGCCGGGGGTCCTGCCAACCCTGTGTCCTGTGCCGTTGGAGGCCCCGCCGACTACTCTTCTGCCGGGGGTCCTGCCAACCCTGTGTCCTGTGCCGTTGGAGGCCCCGCCGACTGCTATTCTGCCGGGGGTTCCTGCCAAACCTGTGTACTGTGCCGTTGGAGGTCCCGCAGACTACTCTTCTGCCGGGGGTCCTGCCAACCCTGTGTCCTGTGCCGTTGGAGGCCCCGCCGACTACTCTCCTGCCGGGGGTCCTGCCGGCCCTGTGTCCTCTTCCGTGGGGGATCTTGCCGACACCTGTGCCACCGGCTCCGGATCCTGTCCGGACGACACCGGCTCCTGCCCGGCCTCCGGAGCTGTCCGGACTTCGCACTCGAGCCCGGCCCTCTGAGTGCCGCCCTTTTCGCCCTCGAGCCCGGCCCCCCTGACTTTCCCGGCCGCGGTCCTCGCCCTTGGACCTGGCTCCCTGACTCTTCCTGCCGCGGTCTTCGTCCTCGAGCCCGGCCCCCTGACTTTCCCGTCCCCTGGGTTCGCCCGCTGTGGTCTTCGCCCCTTTTTGGACTCTGCCTTGCCCCCGGGCCGTCCGCCCGAGACCCCCTCCTCGAACTCTGCCTTTCCCCCGGGCCGTCCGCCCGAGACCCCTTCCTCGAACTCTGCCTTGCCCCCGGGCCGTCTGCCCGAGACCCCTTCCTGGTCCTCTGCCGTGCCCTAGGCTGTCAGTCAAGACTGCGTGGGGCCTCACCTCGCGAAGGGGGCCTCATCTTGCGGAGGGAGACACAAATGCGGCGCACCTATGCGCTGCAATTAGTGTGGCACGGTTTTGCCGCTGTGAGGCTCCACCAACACCCCCAGTTTCGTCAACTTAATGTGTTGCTTAAAATAATACTTTTGCCTACAGTATGTGACACTGTTTTGCACGCTGACTCAGATAAGGAAATATGATATATTATGATATTATATGAACGATGACGTGATTGATGCGATATGAATGATAAGTGCGCGACACATCGTCGTCTTCCCTGCATACGGCAGTTTAAACTGTATTTCCTTTATCCTGTAATATGACTTGATAGATTTAAACTCCGCACACTGAGCTCTGATTGGTCAGAGTGAGTTGATCTCTTATCTATAGACGCCGGAGGCGGGCAGCGTCAGGTAAAACAAGTTAGCCTTCCCAAACCTGAGCCTCACGCGCCGCTTTATTAATTTAACTTGTGTTACAGGATTGATTAGGCATTAAAATATTTCTAAAATTGAATAAAGTATAGACATAACACATTTGTTTTACTTTGTCAATCAAGTATTGTGATTGGTCAATGTGGACCAAATGTAGATTGATAAATACTGTGTAGACTAGTACAGTACTGCATTATATATATATATATATATATATATATATATATCATTTAGGATAGGGGATGGACATTTTTCACTAATTTATGAAATTGTATAGATTAATTATCTTAAGTTACAGGCCTATTTCTGACAGTTTGAGGTCAGTTGAAACTTCCTTTTGTAATACTTTGTTAGCATTAGTTTATACGTTAGAATTGACTTCAATATCAGATTTCTCTGAAATGTGTCTTGATGAAATCTGATGCTTTCTTTCGTTTATTACAGTGGGATCTGGTTTGTCACAATGCATGGATGGTTCCTTTTACCACCTCCTTATTCTTTGTAGGGGTCCTGATTGGATCATTTGTTAGTGGTCACTTCTCAGACCGGTAAGTCCTGTTCTGTAAGAAGAAGAATTGCAATTTTTTAAATATTTATATTGTCTCAGTGTAAAATGATCTTTCATTTCCATGCAACAAAACTTAAAAAAATTAAATATTAGACTTTGCTAATTTTACAGTTACATTTTTATATACAGAATATTTGATTATAATTACGGCTTCAGATAATGATTATTTCTATTATTGAATCTGACGATTATTTACTGATAATCATCTGATGATATTTATAACTAAGCACACTTTAATCATTTAGTTTGCATGTTCTATCTGAACAACAGTCCATACCCACAGATATACAATTAGTGTTATGTATCAGATAAAACAGCAAATCCTTGTTGAAAATGTTTAATCGTGAATCAATTATAAAGGTTATTGATTAATCGGCAATAATGTTAATTTTAGATCTAATAATGTAAATTATTCTTTTTATTTTTGATTGATCTGTGTGTAAGTAGAAGAAGAAAAAACAGACACAATACCTGATGGACTGAGAGAAAGACAACATAAGCTCTTCCAATCAGAAGTCAAACAGTGTGATAGTGTATACACTCACAGTTTGCATAGCGTTTAATTCCTGTTTCCGTGCTTTGTTGTCTCACAGGTTTGGCAGAAAGCCAGTGTTTTTCTTTACCTTGGCCCTACAAACATTCACTCCTCTGATCCAGGCCACCTCCGTCAGCTGGCTCATGTTCTGTATCCTCAACTTTCTAAGAGGACTTGGCCAGATCTCCAATTACATTGCGTCACTCATTCTGGGTGAGACAGCAAAAGCACTTCTATCATTCAGATTCAGATTAAACTTTATTGTCGTGACATAGTACAGGTACTAACGAAACGGATCATTCTCAAAGAGTCCCTGTCTCTGTCTCTTCTTCAATATCTGTCTGTGACAAGATGAGGCTTGCTTGTATACTTTTAGTTTTCCCATTTTAAATTGCTCATTTTCTTGTGTAAATGTCGTTGAAGGAAGCATTAATTGATTATTCAGTAGGGAAGCAGACAGTCCTCACAGTTTCTTGTGAGAACATGTGTTTTCTCTAATCTTAATACAATGCTCCGATGCTCAGGGTCTGAGATGCTGAGCCCGACTGCCAGGATGAGCTACGCTCTGCTCGGCCACAGTGTGGGGTTTGGTGTGGGATATGCATTGCTGCCGCTGTTTGCCTACCTTGTCCGCGGCTGGAGGATGCTGCTGGTTGCTTCTGCCATCCCTGGCCTCCTATTTATACCAACATGGTGGTAAGTCTGATGAATGTTGGCTGATAAATATCATTGACAAACAAATGAAACTCATTCATCAAAAGTTAGAATAAAAAGTCTTTAAACCACTTGTCTCACACTTCGGACTGTTTTAAATGATATGTGTTCTCTGCAATGTGTGATGTTTTGATTTTATTAAATATATTCCATGCCTTTCCAAATGAAATTAGATGGAATTTGCTATAAAATTGAAGTCTTTAATTGTTAAACTGTAGATACATTACCTTTTGTCTGTCTGTGCAGGGTGATTCCTGAGTCTCCCCGCTGGCTTTTACAGAAAGGTCGAGTTGAGGAGGCTGAACTTATCATACGCGCTGCTGCCAAGAGGAACCAAGTCCAGGCTCCTGAGGTCATATTCAGGGCTGACGAGTGCTTGGAGCTGATGGTACTTATTCCATGTTTACTATTCATGCTGTGGAATTGATTGTGATCAAGCATAAATATGGCCAAAACGTTGACAAGCTTTACATTGCACTGTATGCAATGTCACTATTCAGCTTCTTTTATCTATGTCTAATTCAGCAAAACACAGGTGAAGAGAGGCAGACATACACTTATCTGGACCTGATACGAACCCCTAACATGAGGAACATCACAATTCTGAGTGTTCTCATATGGTAACGTGACTTAATTTCTACATTCATACATTTATTGAATATTCAATTATAAATAGTAAACAACTTTGAATTGTAAAAAGGAACTTGTTGTCAGCCTGAGCCGGGCACAATAAACAATAAAACACAGTTAAAGTAAAAGCACGTTTGAGATCCCTGTATTAATGTATGCAACATCACCTTAATTCAAACTTTTTGTTGTTGTTGTATTTCTGCAGGACTGCTACCTCCATGGTTTTCTATGGGCTCTCTCTCAATACCAGTAACCTAAATGGAAATGTCTACCTCACCTGCTTCATTTCAGCAGTCATTGACATTGTGGTGTATGTAGTCACTTGGATGCTGGTTAATCGTGTGCAACGACCCACATTCATCTGCTCGGCAATGATGTTCTGTGGCATCATGCTCCTGGTTATCAAGCTAGTTCCGGAAGGTCTGTACACTCATAGTACAATATTGACTGAATCGGGCATCTCTGGAAATACTAAAAGACACATGCCTGTGTAAAATTGTATACGCTCTGTCTAATAACTTGTTTGTTTTTTCAGACATGCATGTCATGTTCCAGGTGTTTGCCTTAGTGGGAAAGGTCGGTGTGTCTTCTGCTTACTGCATCATCTTTGTGATCTTCACTGAGCTGATCCCCACCGTGGTCAGAAACATGGGCTTAGGGGTAGCATCCACAGCTGGACGCATAGGCACCATCATTTGTCCTTTTGTGATCTACATGGGCAAGTGTTTTTCTACAGCCGTTTTCTACAGGCACATTTTACCGGCGTATTTTTCATTATGATTCCACTTGTGATAGTCGGACATGGCAACCTGTGCAGCCCATGTATTGATTCCATCCGATAGCTGCTATAATACAAAACATCTGCCTGCTCTCCACAATGATCAATGACAGCGAACGGATGGTCAAAGTAAGGCACAAATAAACAGAATCACACGAAGCCTGGTTAGTGTTGCCTGACTTTATAAAGTGTGTGGTTGCGTTCTAGTCACTTTGCTCAGCGCTACTGCTTGTTACAACTTTTATTTGCCGTACTCACCTTTAACTGTGAGCTCAGGTTAATCTCGCCCCCCTCCGACATAAGCGTGACGTATGCGGTTCTTGTATCTAGACCGACAATTTTTTGGTGCTTGAAACTAACCGGATTCCGGAGCTTAGAGGCTGCGGTGTGAACAGGAAAAAACAGTGCTTTTCAGGCTCTGGCTCCGAACCGGCCCTGGAACCGCGTTGGTGTGAAAGGGGCATTAGAGGCGGCTCCGCTGCGGTGTGAACAGGAAAACCCAGTGCTTTTCAGGCTTTGGTTTGAAAGGGGCAACATGTGTGACTGACCAGAGTTTGCGCCTCGTCATTTTGATAGCTCCGCCCCTTCGCTCCAACCCCCCTCCCTCCCCACATCTACAGGTGAAAATTACTTTAGCAACACATTCATCGCAAGAAGTGTAGCAAAAGTCAAGGCCGCAGATTCGTCGATGTATACTGCCACAGAGCAGATTCGTGAAGTTGTAATGACTGATTTGAGAGGATGTAATAACCAAGTTGCAGTTGTAATGGGAAATGTATTTTTTTTTTAAATACAAGCCACAACACTTATTTTTCTTCTGTGACTTCAAATTTACTGAAGAGGATTAGGGGCACATTTTTTTTGGGAGGATTACAAAAAGTCAGAATTATGACTTTAATCTCAGAATTATGACTTTAAAGTCAGAAATACCGGTAACTGTAGAGAACCAGCTTCAGTGAGAGACTTGCAGTAGGCAACAATGGAGGACGTGAGTGAATTTCTGCGCGCCAGAGGGGTCCAAGATAAGGTGACCAGATTTTCAAAATTAAAACCGGGGACATTTTGAGTTTTGCTGTCAATATATCATTAACATATCCAATTTTCTTCACTGTTAAAGAAAAAAGGGGGACAATTCTGGTTCAATGTAATTCGAACATTTGAACTGTTGGATACAAACAGAAGGACGATAGCTCATATATGAGACTTCAAAGGTCTTTTATTTTTTAAACTGTACATCAGATTGTCCAGATTCTCTCTGAGTGATTGGATGGGGTGTCCTGCTATCACCCTGGAGTGAAATAAGTATTTGATACTGGATAGTTTGTTTTATTCTTATCTAAAAACAGAGGGATGATAGCTAATATATGAGACTCCAAAGGTCTTTTATTTTGAAACTCTACATCAGATTGTCCTGATTCTCTCTGAGTGACTAGATGGGGTGTCCTGCTATCACCCTGGACTGAAATAAGTCTTTGATAATTTGACAGTTTTTAATTTATTCTTGTACAAAAACAGAAGGAAGTGAAATAATTATTTTATTGAATTCGAATGACTCTTTGATTATGGACAGTTTCCATGAAATAATAATCAAAATATAGATGGACAATAGATCTAATTTGAGATTTTAAACAGCATACATTTTAAATTGTGCTTCAGAAAGTAATGTTATTTTAGGAGTGTTGTGAGATGGTGTCAACATCAATTGAAATTAGTCACCCAGTGGAAATGTCAGATATGTCTTCATAACTGTATACTTACATTTTACATTCACTCAGTTATAATGTGGTAGTTATACATAGTTTGTTTTAAATTATTATTGAGCACTTTATATAGTACATATTTCTTAATTTAAGCTCCAGTATATATGAATATGTTTGGTGTGTTTTTTAGGTATATTTGTTATTGACCGAGTAAACGCATTTATTTTGAAGGCAGTTTTTACAGGCCTCAACCGTAATGCATAGGATATTCGCGCATCGCAATACAACGTGCGGGCTAGCTTGAGTGTGTTTTCCGAAGTGGGGGCTGGCGTGACCGCAGTCTGTTTACCCAGTGTTTCCTGACATGAAACGTTTTATTTCACCTTGCTATGTGTTTTTAACGTATATTAAAAAACGGACATTTCCGGGGACAGTTTCAACCGGGGACAGGCCAATACAAACGGGGACTGTCCCCGGAAAACGGGGACGTCTGGTCACCCTAGTCCAAGAGGAAACCATATTGCAAATGGAAGAACAAAAGGTGAGTTATAAATATATGTGTTACGGTGTGTGTAGGAAGCAGGACCCAAGGGTCGTATCACTAGGCCACCAGGGTGGGTGGAGGGGGTCAGGAGGACGGGACTGAGCAGACCGCCCAGGGGCACAGCAGAGGACCAGGAAGGGATCTCGGGCGGACGTTCCGGGGGCAAGGCAGAGTTCAAAAAGGGGGATTCGGGCGGACGGCCCGGGGGCAAGGCAGAGTCTAAGGTGGGGGACTCGGGCGGCCGAGCATGAGGGCGAAGGCAGCGGCAGGAAGAGTCAGGGGGCCGGGCTCGAGGACGAGGGCAGCGGCAGGAAGAGTCAGGGGGCCGGGCCCGAGGGCGAGGGCAGCGGCAGGAAGAGTCAGGGGGCCGGGATCGCGGGCGAAGACCGCGGCTCACAGAGGGCCGGGATCGAGGGCGAAGACCGCGGCTCTCAGGGGGCCGGGCTCGAGGGCGAAGACCAGACAGCTCCGGAGGCCGGGCAGGAAAGCGCTGACGGGACAGCTCCGGAGGCCGGGCAGGACCCGGTGTCGGCCGGACAAGAACCGGAGCCGGTGGGACAGGCTTGGGCAGGATCCCCCACGGAAGAGGACCAGGAGTAGGCAGGACCCCCAGTGAGACATGTGATGTCGAGGCCTCCAACGAAACAGGACATGGGGTTGGCATGACCCCCGATAGAAGAGTAGTCGGCCGGGCCTCCAACGGCACAGGACACAGGGTTGGCAGGACCCCCGGCAGGAGAGTAGTTGGCGGGGCCTCCAACGGAACAGGACATAGGATTGGCAGGACCCCCGGCAGGAGAGTAGACGGCGGGACCTCCAACGAGACAGGACAAAGGGTTGGCAGGACTCCCGGCAGGAGAGTAGTCGGCGGGGCCTCCAACGGGACAGGACACAGGGTTGGCAGGACCCCTGGCAGGAGAGTAGTCGGCAGGGCCTCCAACGGCACAGGACACAGGGTTGGCAGGACCCCCGGCAGGAGAGTAGACGGCGGGACCTCCAACGAGACAGGACAAAGGGTTGGCAGGACCCCCGGCAGAAGAGTAGTCTGCGGGGCCTCCGACGGCACAGGACATAGGATTGGCAGGACCCCCGGCAGGAGAGTAGACGGCGGGACCTCCAACGAGACAGGACAAAGGGTTGGCAGGACCCCCGGCAGGAGAGTAGACGGCGGGAACTCCAACGGGACAGGACATAGGGTTGGCAGGACCCCCGGCAGTAGAGTAGTCGGCGGGACCTCCAACGAGACAGGACAAGGAGCTGGCAGGACCCCCGGCAGGAGAGTAGACGACGGGACAGACATACGATTGGTAGGACCCCCGGCAGAGGAGTAGTCGACGGGGCCTCCAACGGGACAGGACATGGAGTTGGCAGGACCCCCAGCGGAACCTCCAACGGACCAGGACATTGGGTAGGGACTTGAGACGTGACTCGAGAGGGGACTCGAGAGGAGACTCGAGAGGGGAACTAGAGAGGGGACTCCAGAGGGCACTAGAGGAGAGACTAGAGGAGGGACTAAAGGAGGAACTAGAGAAGGGAACTCGAGAGGGGACTCGAGAGGGGAACTAGAGAGGGGACTTGAGGAGGGATTAGAGAGGGGACTAGAGGAGGGACTATAGGAGGGACTAGAGGAGGGACTAGAGGAGGGAACTCGAGAGGGAACTCGAGAGGGAACTCGAGAGGGAACTGGAGAGGGGACTCGAGAGGGAACTGGAGAGGGGACTCGAGAAGTGACTAGAGGAGGAACTAGAGATGGGAGTAGGGAATTGACTAGAGGAGGGACTTGAGTAGGGACTAGAGATGGGACTAGAGAAGGGACTAGAGGAGGGACTAGAGGAGGGACTCGGGAAGGGACCAGAGAGGGGACTAGAGAAGTGACTAGAGGAGGGACTTGAGAAGGGACTAGAGATGGAACTCGAGAGGTGACTCGAGAGGGGACTTGAGAGGTGACTTGAGAGGGGACTCGAGAAGAGACTCGAGAGGTGACTGGAGAGAGGGCTTGAGAGGGACCTCGAGAGTTGACTTGAGAGTTGACTTGAGAGGTGACTTGAGAGGGATCTCGAAAGGGGATTCGAGATGGGACTCGAGAGGAGACCTGAGAGGGAACTGGAGAGGGGACTCGAGAGGGAACTCGAGGTGGGACTAGAGGTGGGACTAGAGAAGGGACTAGAGAAGGGACTAGAGAAGGGGCTCGGGAAGGGACCAGAGGAGGGACTAGAGAGGGGACTAGAGAGGTGACTAAAGGGGGGACTGGAGAAGGGACTAGGGAAGTGACTAGAGGAGGGACTTGAGAAAGGACTTGAGAAAGGAATTGAGTAGGGACTAGAGAAGGGACTAGAGAAGTGACTAGGAAAGTGACCTGAGGAGGGACTAGGGAAGGGACTAGAGGAGGGACTAGAGAGGGGACTAGAGAGGTGACTAAAGGAGGGACTGGAGAAGGGACTAGGGAAGTGACTAGAGGAGGGACTTGAGAAAGGACTTGAGAAAGGACTTGGGAAAGGAATTGAGTAGGGACTAGAGAAGGGACTTGAGATGGGACTAGAGTTGGTACTTGAGAAGTGACTAGAGAAGTGACTAGAGGTGGGACTGGAGAAGGGACTAGAGAAGGGACTAGGAAAGTGACCTGAGGAGGGACTAGGGAAGGGACTAGAGAAGGGACTATGGCAGCTGGGGCCGGGACTGGGTCTGGAACCATGGCT